CGCGGCTCCCGGGGCGGGGCGGCGGCGCGCGGTCAGCTGACCCCGGCGGGGGACGCAACACCGAAGCCGGGCGGCCGCGGCGGGACTCGACCTGGTGAGCTGGCTCGGGGACTGGGGGTCGGGACTCCTGGGGCTTTCTTGCCACGTCTTTCCAACAAACTCCTGCGGCCCCTGGACCGTCCCGGGCTCCTGTCCCCTCTTTGTGGCACGAGATCCTGGGGCGAGGCCCCGGGCTGGGATTGAGTGGCCCTCGGGGGCCCTTATCCCCGTCGTTCCCCCACCTCAAGGGTGCCCAGCACGGCCTCTCGGACTGGCCCTGTCAGGGCTTGGGGTCCGGGTCCCCTTTTCTCCTCCGGGTCCCGGCCGATGGGCTCTGGGCTTCCGATGGCTTTGTTTTCCCCGGGTCGGGCCGGGCGAGGGGACCTCGCGGCGCTGGCTCCACGCTGCCCTGTCATTATCCCTCCAGACAGGCGGCCCGCGCCGGGCTGAGTCACCGGGAGGGAGTTTTGGCCGAAGACCTCGAGGCCTGAAGGGTGATGTCCCCAAGCCGGGACGCGCACCCTCCACGTTGTCCCAGGTCTGCCGGGAGGGGAGCCCAGATTGCCCCCTCCCGTGACATACTTAGGGCAGGTTTCCAAGTGCGTGCACGGGGAGCGTGGTTTTGGAAGTATGAGGACTGGCCGGGGTCACAGGTCTTGTTCATCCAACACTTACTGAGGACGACTGTGTGCCTGGGACGCTGAGGGGAGGAAGAGGGGACAGAATAGCAGTTATCCCTGGATGTTGCTATTGAGAGTTCACCCTGTGACAGGCACCACTGTGATGGCTTAGCCGGGATTATCTCGTTTGACTCTGCATTCAGCCTAGCAAGTGGGGACTTGGCATTATTCCCCCACTTTACAGATTAGCATGCTGAGGCTTGGGCACTTGCCCGGGAGTTCTAGACTAGTAGGCATCAGGAAGGTTAATTCCAGAGTGCTTTTCTCCTCAACCCCAGGCCATCTGAGCTCATGACTTTTTTTCTCCCTCTCTCCTTTTTTCTTTTTCTCTTTCTTTCTCCCCCCTTTTCCTCCCTCCTGCTGTCTCACCCCCACCTCCACCCCTTCTCCCTACCTTTCTCTTTCTCTCTCAACATTTTCAGAACCTTTGCTGTGCAGCTGGTGTGTCTGGGCCCTGAGAATAAGTGTACAACTAAGGTGAGGGAGGGGGGCATGTTTAAAGAGCAGTGGCTATTGAGGATTGTGATAAGCTTTCTTCAGGTGTGCAGGGAGGAGGTGGCAGGTCCTGTCCAGCTGGCTTGTCAGCCCTCTTTGAGAGAGCAATTTACAAGTGCGTCTTAGTATTTCTTTACCAAGCCCTCAAGGGGGAGAAGGACACTCCTGGGGAAGAGACAGCTTGTGCAGAAGCCTGGTGGCCAGAAATGACTATTTGAAGACCAGGGGCAGGAGGCAGGAGATAAGGCAGGGGATGGGGGGGCAGTTCTTGGAGTATTTGGGGGCCTTGCCTCGGCCTCAAGCAGTTTGGACTTGATCTTGTAGACACAGGTGGACACTTGATCTGCTTTGACGGGAGGCATCTCCCCGAGTCAGCTTGGGATCTGGGAGAGGAGTTTGGCTGTGGCTGGAGCTTCCATCCGCCAGCCCAGCCTTTCTCAGAGTACATTGCTTGCACCAGAATTGTCGGGGGAGCTTCTCAAACCCAGAATCCCTGAGTCCCAGCCCAGATGTGCTGACCCTGAATTTTGAATATGCCCTTTCCAAGGGTGATTCCAGGTTCTTGCCATCCCTACAGATGAGGTCAAGCTTGTTGCAACCCTGGACACCCATTCACTCAGTGCTGTTTAAACCAGAGGTGGGTCAATGCCTGGCTTCTAGGTGATGGACTCTATGCATGGTGGCCCTCAGAGGAGGGCCCCTTCAGTTAAGAGCTCAGGGGTGTCTCAGAGTGTCCTGGACTCCAGGCTGCACGTGGGCCCTTGAATTCCAGCCACCTGTGCCACCCCAGGGATCACCTGTCCCGGGTCAGGGGACCACTCACCCAGTGACCTGGTCTCCATTAATCAAGGAACCTTCCTCAAGACCCCTCCCCACCATTGGTATGTGTCTACCTCATTTCCTCCCTAAGCTGGTGAAAAGAGGGAGTGAGGTGGCCCCAGGTAGTTGAGATGGTGGACAGTCACTCCACTTATACGTCAGGCACCAGCCTAAGCTTTATGTGCACTTACTCAGGACAACCACCCCAAGATGCGGGTGTCATTGGCCCCATTTTATAGACAGGCTCAGACAGGTTAACTCTCTTGCCCAAGGCCACTCAACCTCATCTGTAAAATGGGGACAGCATTGCCTGCCTTGCTGGGGAGTGTGAGGATGCCAGTGTACAAACATGATGAACCACAGTGGCATGTTCAGGTCTACACAAGGATGGTGGGGGATACGGTGCAGTTGCAGGGGGAGGGGCTGGGGAATAAAAGGATTTGCTTTTTTTTTTTTTTCCTTTTTGTCTTTTTTCGTGTCTGGCAACGGATTGCAACCCTCAGTGTCGCGCCCGTACCAGACCGGGACTGGCAACGGGATCGCAACCCTCGGCGCTGCGCCCGCACCTCGCTCAGCCAGTGAGTGGGAACCGGTCTGTATGTGGGATCCGAACCCTCGGTGGGAGCGCCGCCGCGCTCTCAAGCGGCGCACTGTAGCAGTGCGCCACCGGGCCGGCCCCCAGGATTTGCTTTTAAACGACTTTGATGCTGCAAAGGTTCTTACCCGGACTGTATGTTAATTTGGAGTGGCTTTGCAGGTGCCAGTGACAGGGCATCGGGTAATCAGGTAAACACTTCCAACATCAGCTGTGGTGGTGGTCGTCAAGATGTTTCATCAGGGTGGGCCACCAAGATACAGGAAGAGGCTTTCAGCACCCTGTGCTGGGCCCTGGAGATATCTCAGTGAGCTGGGCAGACAGTGACCTGGGGCACCTTTGCCCATGGCTAGTCCCTAGGGCTGAGAGCCTACAGCTTCCTGAGAAAAGGAGCTGACTTACTTCCTTTCCCTCCCCGATGTCCCTGGTTGCTGCGACCTCAGCAGTTTTGTGGATCCAACCAGGCAATTGCTTTATGAGGAGCCTGAGCCTCCTGACACAAGAGGGAACTAAGGTGGCTGGAGAGAGCCCCCACCCAAGGGGAGGAAACCCCCTCTTGGCACAGTGAGAAAAGGGGAAGCCCACTTTCTGGCTCCATGAGAAGCGGGCCAGCTGTGCCAGACCACAGGAGGTTTCTGCTGTGCCCAGGGACAGAAGCACATGTAGCAGTGCGGCGTGTGGCCATGAGCTGGGGGCTGGGACTTGGTCCTAGGATGGATTCCTGCACTTTCTGATTGGGTGGCCCTGGCAAATCACTTCCCTGCTCTGGTCTCAGGTTCCGCGTGGACATATCTGTAGTCCCACCTCACAGAGTTGATATGAAGACAGCATACATTAATGCTCAGCACAGAGCTGGCAAGGAGCTCAGTGGTCAGTGGTCATCAGATGGCTCCATCCAGGCCCACTTTCTGTACCTTCTCTAGGCCTGTCACACAAGCAGTGACTGCTCTACTCACTGTCCAGGGTGTGGGCACCGGGAGGGGCGTTCCCTGGCTGCCCGTGAGTCAGCCACATTCTGGCTGGCTGGTGGGGAGATCGCAATCACCCGCTTCTTCTCCACTAGCCTACCTGACCCATGTGCGGGCAGCCCCGCTTTAGATGAGGTAATGTACTTAATTAACGGGCCTGGACTCAGCAATTACCCTTGCCGAGTAATTTACAATAGCAAAACATTGGAAGCAACCTAAATATTTGAGGGTTATAACAAAAGGTGACATTGAGACTTAGTCCTACAAACTCTATTTATGAACTCATTTCACCTGCACAGCAAATGTGTGTGAACAGCAACTGTTGTCACCATCATTTTACAGATGAGAGAGCTCAGGCACAGGGAGGCAGAGTCGCTTGCCCAGAGCTGCAGCATTATGAGCATAAAGCTGGGATTTAGGGCCTGCCCGGTGGCGCACTGGAGAATGCGCTGCTTGGGAGTGTGGTGGCGCTCCCGCCGAGGGTTCGGATCCCATGTGGAGACTGGTTCCCGCTCACTGGCTGAGCGCGGTGCAGGCGCAACACTGAGGGTTGCGATCCCATTGCCGGTCCCTGGTACGGGCGTGACATCGAGGGTTGCGATCCTGTTACCAGTCAGTAAAAAAGACAAAAAAGGAAAAAAAAAAAAAAAAAAAGAAAGCTGGGATTTAGATGTACCTGTTCCTGACCACAGATCCAGCGCTGTCTGTGCACGTGTTTGTTTTGATCTGTGTACCTGGAGGCTGATTGCGTCCCTGTGGGTGAGGACTATATCTTTATCCTCTGGTTCAGGGGCTCAGACAGATCTAGGTGATAAGGCTGGGATGAACTTGGGTCAGGACAACATGAGTAGGACCTGAACCTCCTACGCTGAATGTCTCTCTTTCTCCCTGTCTACAGTGCACCGGAGCCCACCCTCCTGGGCTGGAAGCCCTCCCTCCGCAACCATGGTCTGGAAGAAACTGGGCTCTGGCAACTTCTCCAGCTGCCCCAATGGCTCCCGCCAGTGGATATGGGATGTGTTTGGTGAATGTGCCCAGGATGGTTGGGACGAAGCCAGTGTGGCCCTGGGCTTGGTCTCCATTCTCTGTTTCGCTGCATCCACCTTCCCGTGAGTAGTGCCTGGTGGCAGGACCATGTCAGGGCTGTGGGGGGTGGGGTGGTGACTCCAGGCACAGCAGGGAGAAGGGCTGTCTGGTTGGCGGATGTACTCCCTCCCCCACCCACACCCACTGACTTCCAACCCACCTGGAGGAGCCTGCTTTGCGCTGGGCAGTGCTGATATGGAGATAATTATTATAACATTTACTACAGCGTGTTGAATCCTGCTGTGTACCTGGCTATGTACCTAAGCACTTAACATGTTTTTACCCCATTTAACCATTTAATTCTCACAACAACCCTGTGAAATAGATACAGTTACTATCCCTATTTTGCAGATGAGGGAAATGAAACCCAGAGAGGTTAAGTAACTTGCTCTAGGTTGCACAGCTGGTAAGAGATAGTCAGGGCAGTGGGAGCACTGGGCTGCGTCAGCCATGGCCTCTGTCCCCAGAGCTTTGACAGTCTGGTGGGGACAACAGCAGTGAACACAAACTACTGTGGCTGCTGCTGTGATTGGGGAATGAGGACATGCTGCATAACAGAACAGTGGTCAAGAGCATCCACACTCAGCTTTGCCACCTACTAGCTGTGACCTGGGCAAGTCACTCCACTGCTCTGTGCCTCAGTTCCCTCATCTGTAGAGTGGGAATATTGTTCCCTACCTCAGCGGGTTGCTAGGAGGATGGCACGAGGGGAGTGTGTGTAAAACGCCCGATGCGGGGCCTTTGCACAATGTCTGTACGAGTCCGAACGTGGTCCGTGGGGATATTGTGAGTGTTTCATTAATTAAAGCACTGGAGAGGGGCACGTACCCCGTCCGCAGAGGCAGGAGAGGGCTGCAGTCAGAAAGGACATGGAGGTGTCAGCCTCTAAGCCAAGCACTGTAGGATAGGGAAGAGTTAGGGGAAAGCTACGGAAGAGCATCCCAGCCAGGGGAACAGCCGGTGCAGGAGGTACAGAAGCGGCTCTGTTTGTATGGCTGACCTAGTGCAGGAGGGACGGCAGGGCAGGGGAGGTCACAGAGGCCATGACCTACGGGCTCTTCTCCGCTGTTAAGAAGCTTGCTCTTTCAGATCCCTTTACCGACCAGCCACCAAAAAAGAGAAAAAGAAAGAAATTTGCTCTTTATCCCCAGGATAAAGATAAGGGTGTAATCAGGGGGTTGACATTGTTTGAACAGCTTTATTGAGAGATAATTCACATAGCACACAATTAGCCCATTTCAATGTACAAGTCAATGGTTTTAGTACATCCACTGAGTTTTGTAACTGTCACCACAATTAATTTTAGAACATTTTCAGCCCTCTTTCGGCTGGCTGCTGAGGAGGCGCGGTGCAGCCACTCCAGAGTCCTCAGGTTCACCAGTAGGAGGATTCTGCTACCGTCATGTCTTGGTTGCTGCTGTTGCTGGAAAGGCAGAAGATCTTTTTTTTTTTTTTTTTTTGTCTTTTGTCTTTTTCCGTGTCCGGCAACGGATCGCAACCCTCAGTGTCGCCCCCATACCGGACCGGGGACCGGCAGCAGGATTGCAACCCTCGGCGCTGCTCCCGCGCCTCGCTCAGCCAGTGAGCGGGAACCAGTCTGTATGTGGGATCTGAACCCTCGGGCGGGAGCGCCGCCACGCTTCCCAAGCGGCGCACCTATCCAGTGCGCCACCGGGCCGGCCCATGGCAGAAGATCTTTTAAACTGAGTTGATCAAGGGGCTGCAACCACTCTTAGTAGAAAAGAGAACACCAGCAACATCATATATAGCAGAAATACTGACTATTCTGAACTTCACCAGCGAAATACAGATTTGACTTAGACTGGACCTAAAGCTACTGATATTTCCTCAGCGGCTGATAACATTCTTTTTTTTTTGTCCTTTTTGAGACCGGCCGCACTGCGCTCAGCCAGTGAGCGCTGTGAGCGCACTGGTCATCCCTATATAGGATCCGAACCCGCGGCGGGAGCGCTGCCGGCTCCCAGCGCCGCACTCTCCCGAGTGCGCCACGGGCTCGGCCCGGCTGATAACATTCTAAATCAAAAAGCCACCATCTTAGCTGGCACTGCAAATATGAAAGGAGCTGGGACACCAGTGGAGAAGAACTAAGAACTTATGTCAAAATTGATTTCTCTATGATATTTTAAGATTCAAAAAAAGAGAAAATTTTGACATCTAAAAGAAAATGTGTAATTTTGAGGGGTTCAGATTCCCATACTGGCCAGCTGTCATAAAATAAAAAGAAAAAGTGTGTAAAAAAGAACATTTTCATCCGCTAAAAGAAACCTGTGCCCATTGGCAGTCATTCCCCATGTCCCCCTAAACCTCTCAGTCCCTGGTAGCCACCAATCTACTTTCTGTCCCTGTAGAAAGAAATTTATCTATTCTGGACATTTAGTGATTCATATCAATGGAATCATATAGTCTGTGGCCTTTTGTGACTAGCTTCTTTCATTTAACGTGATGTCTTCCAGATTCATTCACGTTGTAGTGTGTTTTAGTACTTCCGTCCTTTTCGTGGCTGGATCATATTCCGTTCTGTCTGTCAATCACATTTTGCGTATCCATTCATCCACTGAGAGACATTTGGGTTGTTTCTACTTCTTACTTACTATGATTAATGTTGCTGTCTACATTCACGTACAAGCTTCTGTGGGGACTCTGTTTTTATTCCTCTTGAGTATGTACCTAGCAATAGAATTTCTGGGTCTTATGGTAACTCTGTGTTTCATCTTTTGAGGAACTGCCAGACTGTTTTTCAACGTGGCTGCACCATTTTGTATTCCCACCAGCAGCGTATGAAGGTTCCAATTTCTCCAGACCTGCTGCTTCTCAGCCTTTCGGCTAAGGTCAAGTGCAGTTTCTCCAAATCCTCAGCAACTCTGTCTGCTTTTTTTTGTTACAGCCATCCTGGTGGGTGGGAAGTAGTGTCTCGTGGTTTTGATCTGCATTTCTCTGATGGGTAATGATGCTGAGCAGTTTCTCATGTGCTTACTGGCCATCTTATATCTTCCTTGGAAAAAGGTTTATTCAGATCCTTTGTCCATTTTTCAGTTGAATTGTTCATCTTTTTATTGTTGAGTTGTAATAGTTCTTTGTGTATTCTAGATACAAATTCCTTAATTTGCAAGTATTTTCTCCCATTCTCTGGGATGTCTTTTCATTTTATTGATGGTGTCCTTGGAAGCACAAAAATTCTAAATTTTGATGTTGTCCAATTTATCTGTTTTTCTTTTGCTGCTTGTGCTTTTGGTGTCATATCTAAAAAACTATAGCCTAATCCAAGTAACAAAGACTTGCCCTTTTCTTCCTAGAGTTTTATAGATGTAGCTGTTATGTTTAGGTGTTTGATCCGTTTTGAGGGGGTTTTTTGTATGTTGTGTGAGGCACGAATCCAGCCTCATTCTTTTGCATGTGGATATCCAGTTGTCCCAGCACCATGTGTTGAAAAGACTGTCCTTTCCCCACTGAATTGTCCCAGCACCCTGTTGGAGGCTTTTTACTGAATTGCCTTGTTCTAGGTTCCACATTGGTGTGGCGCGAGTGAGCCAAACGGATGCTATCCTTGCCTTTGCAGAGCTTCCATTCTGGCACCCTTGAAAGGACAATCTGAGAATGACAGGGAAGAAGGACCAGGGAGTGGGGCCAGAGAGAGAGACCGAAGGCAGAGAGGCCGCCTTGGAGGCTGTGGAAGCCCCCACATGGCAGCGGAGATTGGAGAGGCCCTCAGGAGGTGGACTGGATAGGTCTGGGTGACTGATGGAGGTTGAGAGAGGGACACTCCCTGTCTGGGGGTGAGAACTTCCCCAGAACCATCTGAGGAGCTGGCTGAGGCTTTCTCTTCCTGTCTGGGCTTGGAGGATAAAGCAGTGAGGGGGTCAGAGCCCTGGGAGAGAGCCCCAAGTGACAGCAAAAAGGACAGCCACCTTCCTGTTCCTCCCTAGGACTTGGCCTCTCCTGGGTGGGACACAATCACTTTCTTGTAATTTATGGAGACAAGTCAAGTCAGAGGGTCCAGAAGGAGCTTTGCTAAAGGCCACAGGATAAACCTTAATTAAGGGCCCTCTCCATGCCAGACCTGTACCAGTGGCTGCCCCCGTCCTCAGGAAGCTTGAGTCCAGGAGGAAGGGGATGTTGAGTGTTACAAAGGAGGAAGGAGAAGACGCCGTTGGAGCTCATGTTGCTGAAGACCCAGAGGAGGAACTGATATTTCCTGACAGTGAAAGACAAAGAGGGGCCGGCCCGTGGCTCACTCGGGAGTGTGGTGCTGATGGCACCAAGGCCCCGGGTTCGGATCCCATATAGGGATGGCCGGTTCGCTCACTGGCTGAGCGTGGTGCTGACAACACCAAGTCAAGGGTTAAGATCCCTTTACCAGTCATCTTTAAAAAAATAATAATAATAAAATAAAATAAAATAAAGAAGGATCCCTGAGAGAGAGGATGGATTTGGTTAACGAGGCTTGGTTAGGAAACAGAGAGAGGTGGGAGGAGTTGGGGGTTAGACAGGAGGTGGAAGTGGAGGAACCAGGCTGATACCCGGCTTTCTTAGTTTCTGGCTTGGGTGATGGGTGGGATTAGGTGCCATTTAGTTTTTCTTTCTATCTGTCCATCCGTCCGTCCATCTACCTACTTATTTACATGCGTGCATGCATGCAGATGGCGAAAAAGAAATTTGAACAGTGAGTGGCCGTGTGTGTAACGGTTAAGCACAAGACTGGAGGATCTGGCCAGGATGTGAACCAGAGCCGTATGACACAACTCCTCAGTCCCCAGTGACGAGGGTCATCATAATAGACTTGACCTCACAGGGGGCCATGAGGACTGAATGAGTTAATACACACGAGGGGCTCAGAACTCAGAGACCCCGTTGCCACTGTTAGCACTGAGCTCACACTGAGTTTTGGCCTCGTACCCTGACCTGGCCACAGGTCCAGAGAGAGGGTTTCAGCACCAAGGACATTTGGGAAAACAACCAGGGGACCAAAAGCCGACGACTTTTGTAACAGAGAGTTACGGAAGCCTCAGCCCCACCCCTCTGTCACCCTCTGAAGATAATCGGGCTGTGGTTTGGGCCAGTCTTATCATCAGCCGCTCCTGGAGATAGGGCAGTGCCCAGGCCTTGGGCCCACGGCTGCCGCCACCACCCTTCTTTCAACATGGCCCCCACCCCATCCATAGAAGAAAGAATCCAGGGTTTCTGTGAAGTGGTTCCCAGGGCCTGACACAAAACTTCAGGACCTTATGTAAACCCTAAGTCCCAGCTGGAGACCCCAGGGTGCGGTGGAGAACCCGAGTAATGCTGTGGATCTGTCTGGAAAGATGCACAGGGTTCCCAGGTTGGAAGGCACGCCCCCTGCTAAGAATTTCTCCGAAGGACAAAGAAAGCGTCCTGAGGATTCTGCCTGCAGGCAGGATGGGCTCCCAGGCCACCTGCTGCCCCTGCCCTGCCTCACTCTTCTGTGGTTGTCTCATCCGGGATGTCCCCTCGTGGGCCCTCTAAGGTGGCTTCTCAGCCCTCGGCCTCTGAGCATGCATCCCCCTCCTCTTCCACAGCCAGTACATCAAGGCCTGCAAGACGGGCAACATGGACCAGGCCCTGTCCCTGTGGTTTCTCCTGGGCTGGATTGGTGGAGACTCCTGCAACCTCATCGGCTCCTTCCTTGCTGACCAGCTGCCCCTGCAGGTGGGCTAGTTCCCCGGGCAGGGTGGGGCTGCCAAGGACAGCCATGGCAGAGGCACCGGGAGCAGCCAGCAGGAGGAGAGGCCCAGGCTCTTTGGCCAGCTGGTCTCCAGAATCCTGACCTGTCATTCCATCTTGTGAGGGCCCCATGCTATAGAGAAGCTCTGCCTGCAAAGCTGTGTGACAATGGGCACATCTTCTCTGGGCCTTAGTTTCCCCATCTATAATATGAGCACATCAAACCAGAAGATCGCTGGGATCTTTTACCTCTGAAGTGCTAGGATCCTAACTAAGCTTTCAGGGCGTGGGGCCCTCAAAGAGAAAAGGAGTTTTTCCTTGGGAGACACAGATGTCATCATTCTCCTGTGGCCAGAAAGAGCTGGGGATCACAGTCAGGAAGGCATTGTCTTCCCAAACGGGACCATAAAGTCTTAACTGCTCCTGCATCAGTCCAAACCAAAGCCATCACTTAACTATGGAGTCCCCTTTTATCCCAACTAGTAGCACTAACCACCAATTCCTCGGCACCTACCCAGGCTGGACCCTGTGCTGGGCCCTTTGCCCACCTGATCTCCAATTCTGCCAGGTAGGAACTGTGATCCCTCCTTTCTAGATGAGGAAGCAGAGGCTTGGAGAGGTGAAGTGACTTGGTCAGGGTCACCCAGCTGGGATGTGGCAGAGTGCTGCTGGGGTGTGGTCTCAGAGCCTGGGGCTGCAGCTGACACCCGGGCCCCCTGCCTCTCTTGCAGACCTACACAGCTGTGTATTACGTCTTGGCAGATCTGCTGATGCTGACACTGTACTTCCATTACAAGTTCAAGAAATGCCCCTCCCCATGTGAGTATGGTGGCCTCTCTGTGTCCAGTGCTCCACTGGCAGCCAGAAGGGCCTAGAGCTTGGGAGGAAGCAGGTTTTCCATTGCTGGGTGATAAACCAAACCTCAGAAAGGCTTCCTCAGGCCTTATCTAAAAGCCTGAGCCAAGATAGAGGCTTGGGGGCAATGAGCACATCCTGGGCCAGACCACAGGGAGGTTCCGTTCCCTCCAGTTCTCATGCAGCAAGCACAGCCTGAGGCCAGGTCAACAGGGCAAGTCCCTGGGCCACCTCTGCCCTCCAGAATTCAGAAGTGGCAATAGATGAGGTCAGCTCGAGGGCTGTGCAAGACATGATGGAGGCACTGAGGGAGGAAAGTGAATCTCACTGGCATTTCTGCTTTTGATAATCTCCCCTGCTGACCCCACTGCCCTCACCGTTTCACCTTTACAACCCTAGGAGAAGGGTGCTGTTGTTATACCCGTTCTACAGATGAGGAATCAAAGCTCAGAGAGGTTAGGTCACTTGTGCAAGGTCACACAGCCACGGAGGGGCAAAGTCTGTCTGCTGCCACTCATACCTACCTCGGCTTCCCTCCTGCCTCCTGTGCAGTGGCTGCCCCCATCAATTCTGTGCTCTTGTTCACCATGGGGACGGTGTGTTCTACACCACTGCTGAGCAGCTCTGGCCCTGTGGCTGCCCCGAGGGAGGTCTTCCGGGGGCGGACGCTCCTGTCTGTGGAGCCGGGCAGTAAGGTGAGCTGTGGGTACATGGTGGTAGAATAAGGGTGGGGGGCTGCCTTGTCCCCAGGCTCTCCCCTGCATGGCCATGTGGGTATTAAGTGGGGTGGGTGCTCACCTTTTAGGAGGGATCTCCCCAGCCCCTACTAGGCACTGAGTGCCCCTCCTGCCCTCCCAGCCCTTCACTCGGCAGGAGATCATCGGCTTCGTCATTGGCTCCATCTCCAGCGTGCTGTACCTGCTCTCCCGGCTGCCTCAGATCCGCACCAATGTGAGCCTTGAGCAGGGGCTGGGTGGGGCCAGGGGGCTTGAGTGGCCCCCTGGGTTAAGGAGTAGCTGGGGCAGGAGTCTTTGTTCCGAAGGTCTGGGGCCACCCTCAGTGTTGGCTTGGGCAAGTTAATTCAACTCTCTGAGCCTCAGTGTCTGCCTCTGGAAAATGGGCGTGGTGCCGCCTGCCATCCAGGGGTACCTGAGACCTGTGTGTGTCTCAGGAAAGAAAGTAGGAGGTCGGGTGAGGGGCTGAGCTTCGAGGCCTGGGAGGAGAGGGGCAGAGGGGGAATCAGGGATGGGGGAGGCTTGCTGGGTGATGCGAGTCCACGCAGGGCTGGAGAGCAGGGTGTCGTGGGGCCGGCAGGCATGGTGAGCCAGTCTCCTGTGGACTTGGACGAGGCTCAGGAGAGGTTGTTGGAGGGGGGATCAGGAGTTCTGGAAGGGGCTGGTCTGTGTGCCAGGCCCATGCTGGATGCTGGGCACACAGTGAAAAACAGCTCAGAGTATGTTCAACGTGAGGGGCAGCTGGACGTGTGGACAGTTACAATCCAGAGTAATGAGAGCCTTGTTTGGGGTCTCTGGCCCACCTCCTCTCCTCCCCAGTTTCTACGGAAATCAACTCAGGGAATCTCCTACTCGCTGTTCGCATTGGTGATGCTGGGGAACACATTGTACGGACTGAGCGTGCTGCTCAAAAACCCTGAGGTGGGCCAGAGCGAGGGCAGCTACCTGCTGCACCACCTACCGTGGCTCGTGGGCAGCCTGGGTGTGCTGCTGCTGGACACCATCATATCCTTTAGGGTGTGAGGGGCAGGCGGAGCAGGCAGGGCGGCCTCTGCCTGCACATGGCTTCAGCATTCATTCATCCATCCATCCCTCCCTCCCTCCCTCCCACCTTCCCTCCACCCCTCCATCCATCCATCCATCCGTTCTCCCATTCCTCCATCTCTCCATCCCTCTATCTATCCATCTACCCATTTGTTCCTCCATTCCTCCATCCCTCCATCCTTCTATCCATCTGTTCCTCCCTCCCTCCTTACTTCCCTCCCTCCCACTCTCCCTTCCTTCCTCCATCCGTCCATCCATTCTTCTATCCCTCCATTCACCCATTCATTCAAGAGTGCACACCTCCTGTGTGCTGGGCACCCAGCCAGGCATTTGATCCATTCATTAGTCATCAAGGACAGAATGGCCCTTGCCTCGGGAAGCTTACAGCTCAGTGTGGGGAGGCAGACGGGACACACATAATTATCAGATAATTACTTCACTGCAGTGGCACTAAGTCCTGCAGAGAAAAATGGCAAGAGTGTAACCAGGGGGCTGTCCTGGTTTAAAGGTCAGCAGAGGCCTCCACAAGAGTCGTCTAAACCATGGCCTAAAGGAGGAGAAGATAGGTAAAGGCAAGGGAGGAGTGTTCTGGGCACAGCTTGTGCCAAGGCCCTGAGAAACAGAAATAAATCAGCCTATCCAGGCCATGGGAAAGCTGGAACATGGAGACACACGTGAGTTAGCACCAGAAAAACCCGGGTTCAAATCCTGACTCCACCACTCCCTAGCTGTGTGACCCAGGGCACACCATCAACCTCTCCACGCTTCTAGATCTTCACCTGAGTTAACAGTCACTGTCCACAGGATAATGGGGCGATTACGTAAGATGAGGTATCTGAAAACAATTCCCACATGACCCAGCACTCACTGAGTGCTCAGTAAACGTTTGCTAAGTGGCTGAGCAGGAAATTATTTGGGTCTCATTTGGGAGAAAGTAAACATGGCCCTTGTTTCTGCATTTGCTGAGTCCCTGAGGGTGCAATGAAAGACAAGTTTAAGCTCTAGTGTCCCAGAATGGGCTGGCATCTTGGTGAACCCCAGGATGCCATAGGATGGGAGGAGGGCCGGATCCTGGGCTAGGGTCAGGGGAGGCTGCTGCGGGAGGAAGAGCTTGGTGTTGCACTTGGGAGACGGATGGAGTTTGGCTAGGGCCTGATGAGCAGGGAAGGCACTCAGGGTGGAAGGGACAGCAAGAGGGAAGAGGGAGCCACAGTCTCCCCCAGGGGCAGGTCCAACCAGTCTCTGCTCCATTTGGCCTTAACGTTGGCCCCTGCAGATTTCTGTCCAGTTTCTGGTGTACAGGAACAATGCCTCCTCCCCAGAGTGTGAGCCCCTCCTCCCCAGCTGACCAATACCAGGCTGAGCCCAGGATGACAGGGACCTCCAGATGCCATACCCAGGAAGGGAGAGGTGTGGACGGAGATAGTGCTGCTGCCTCTGGATTGGGCCATGGAGGAAGCCTGTGGGAGGTCTAGAACTCCCGGCCTGCCTACCTCCCCAGCACGCCTGGAATCCTTTTCCAGAGCAAGACGCTCCCGTGGCCGGCCTACCCCGCCCTGCCTCGGAACACCTCCCAGGTCTGAGGCAGCTGTCCCTGGCAGCCTCGAGTGAGGGGCTGCAGCTGGGACCTCAGGGCCTCTTGGAAAACAGTGCAGCTGCCCCTCCTGCCCACCTACCTCATTCTGCCTGCTGCCCCCCTGGAGGGGCCACAGCTGCAGCCTGGTGGACCCAGGACTGTCCTGTTGACTCCAGACAACCTAGTAAATGGTACTTCCCAGCCAGGCCTGTTTCTGTTGCTCCTTCCCCAGGGTACTGGAGTCTGGGCTGCCATGGGGAACAGTGGTGGATGGGGATCCGGCGGGGGTACCCGAGCAGGAGGGGGCTGCGCCTGCCTGCAGCCCTGGCCCAGCCTTCCAGGCCTCTGATTTCTTTAACCTGCAGCAAGAATGACACACCGACAGGGTCCCTGCACCTCGGCACTCAGGAAGAAGCAGATTAGTTGAAGCTCAGATCTCAGTTCTGCATCTTAGCTTCTTGGTGTCCACGTTACTTCATCTGTGAAGATGACAGACAGTACTACCACTTCACGTGGACTTTTAAGGAGTAAATACAATGGTGTAATTATGGAGTTTTAGCCCTCAAGTCTGGCACATAGTAAGAGCTCAATAAAAGTTAGCTTTGATGGTTTCTAATTGGAGGAAAGGGAAAACCAGGTCTCCCTAGAGATCAGGAGACATTCCCAGAGGAGGTGACAGGCCAGATCAGGAGTCCTACAGGCAGGAGGAGGTGCAAGAGCAGGGCAGGAAGGCAGAGAGTGGGCAGGGCTTAGCCCTGGGTTCTCCTTCCTGGGCTCCAACCTTGGTTTGTTTCCAGACTCCGTTCTGATTCCACCTTCCTGTCAGTCACAACCTCGTGGGTGCCTGGGAGACAGCACCAGCTCCCCTCCTTGCTGGCCTGATCTTGCGCCCCTCACGCCCCACCCTAGGTCCAAAAGTCCAGAGCCTGGGACCTGGGGGCCATCTGGCGGGCTGGTCCCAGGTGGGACTGAGGGCTGGCCTCGGGGAAATGAGCCTTTCTTTTAGAATCTTCCTCTCCCAGCCTCAGAGAAAGAAAGGGGCACGCTGGCCTATCCTGGTGCCATGGATACTTGGCAGTCACAGCCTTCCACTCGGCTTATGCTGTGTTGGGCTTCTGGGATGGGGGCAAACCAGCTCTGGTCCCTGCCCTCAAGGAGAAGAGATGATTGGCAGGTCCTGGTGGTAAGAGCTGTGACCACAAGGTAGAAAGTGCCATAGGAACGAGGAGATGAGACCTGCCTCAGGAGAATCAATCAGGGATGGCTTCTTGGAGGAGTGGCCTTTGCACTGGATCATGAAGGCAGAGGGGAGGCCGATCAGGAAAAGGGACGGGCATGTGGGTGGGTTGGTCTGGGGTGCTCCCGAGGTGGGGCTGCTTACAAAGAGCCTTGAAAGCCAGGCTAATGCTGAGGACAGGGACAAGGTTCTGGGGCAGGGCTCAGCAGCAGCAGCTCAGCAGCAGATGACGGGTTGGTTGGGGGAAGAGCCTTTGTTGCTGGAAAGGAGGGAATTGGGATGTGAGATTCTGGTGGGCAGTGAGGGCGGGTAGGGCCAGTCTCCCCCAGTCCTGTGCTCCTGCGGGATGGCCCGTGAGCCATCTGACATGCAGCGGACGTTTATTGAGCACTTGCTCTGTGCTGGGCTCTATCATTCTGTCCTTGCAACGCCCCCAGAGACAAGTGGTATTATCATGGCCATTTTACAGACGGGGAACAGGCTGAGAGGAACTGTGGGACTTGCCCAAGGCCGCCCAGCTAGGAGCGGTTGCTGTTTGCTCCACATCAGGTCCTCCGCTGTGGGGCCATCTCATACTGGCTGGGGGTCCAGGGCTTGTGACCACGTGCGGGTCAGCCTCACCCTCAGGTGCAGCCCAAACCCTGCTGGGCTCAGCTCCCCTACCATCCTGAGCAGCGACTTCCACGAGCCTCTGACCCTGCCCGGATTGCAGGGGAAGATGCCTCAGGTCCCGGGCCCCAGCTGGCTCGGGCCTGTGCCTGCTTCACATGCCCTTTGCCAGCAAGATGTCTGGCTCCATGCAGGGCTGGACCTGGCTTGATGCCAGTTACCTGGGGCCAGGTGGCACCCTTCCCAGCCTGAAGACCTGGGGGCTCAGTATGGCAGCATGAACCCTAAGTATAGGCCTGAACCGGAGCTGGGTGGGGAAGAGAGAAAATAACACAGGCCCTGCCTCGGGAAGCCCTTGTCTGATGGGATGACGTCATCTCTTCTTCTGGGATACACCCAGTCTGGTGGGATGATAGCTCTTGCTGTCAGCCAGGGGCTATGGTTCCTTCCTCCTTGGGAAGCCCCCAGTCTGGTGGGGGAGACCTGGTCCCTGCCCCTGGGGAGTGCCCTGTCTGATGGAGGAGGTACAGTCCCTATCCTCAGTGAGTCTCACCTGCAGCTCATGCACACCTTGATTCCCCCTCCCCTTTGGAGGCTTCGTCCCACTGCCCCAAGTAGGATTCAAACTGGTGGGGCCATCTCTGGTGCTGGAAGAACCTGGTGGCCTGTCCTAGGGCTGCATGGTCTGTGCCCTGGGTCCCTAGAGCCTTGTTGAAGGGTGAACTGGAGACACGTTCACATGATGGGGTAGAGCACAGACCACGTTCCAAGCACACCCCAGCACCTGGCACGGAGTAGGTGCCTGGTAAACACATGATGGCTACCTTCGCTTGCCCACCAGAGGAGGCTTACCAGTGCCTGGGACCTCCCTGGGTGTCTCCCGCAGAGAAGGGCCAATCTGATGGGCTGGTTCCTTGCACAGATGGGACGTTTGCCAGTGAGGGGGTTGCTGAGTTGAAAGCGCCCCAAGTGGCTTCCTTTCTCTCCCTGGCTCACACCTCTTGCAAGTCGGTGGCAGGATGCTCATCTCCAGGTGTGGCCTGAAGGGAGGAGACCCCCCACCTTAGGTCTTTCTTTGCACTTGAAGGGTGGGCATTTCGGTTTTAGGCTCAGACTCAGGCAAAGAAGTGAACCATGCTCAACAGCTGCCTTGTCCAGGACGGTCTCTCCCTCAGGACACTCACAGGGAGCAGGAGGCTGGGCCAGTCACCCCCAAAGATCCCTCCCTTGGCAGGTCATATTTTAACTACTGAACGAGAAGCCATATACAAAAAGTGCCTTGCACGGCGCCTGGCCCAGCGCTCCACAAACACGCCACCTTGCCCCCCCAGGTCCTGGGCGTGGGCGTGGGGGGGCAGGAGAAGCTGGCTGGCAGGCTGGTGGCATTCTCCAGTAAAGCGGAAGGAGTGGGTCCAGCAGCCCAGGCCTCAGTGCTCCACCCCGGGCCCTCCCAGCCAGGCTCCCACTGGTTATTTATCAAACCTGGGGTCTTCTGAAGACAACACGGCCTTCAGTTCCCGAGGCTGAGGAAGGGAGAAATGTACAATTTGCCCCTCTCTGCACCCTCCCGCGGTCTGATTTGGCTTTCGTTGGAGCTGCATGGTGGGACCTCAGAGGTTCCAGGTAACAGGTGGAATAGGATTACTCTTCACTTTGATTAACTCAGTTCAACTGATAACTACTGATCCAGTCCCCCAGCCCTGTGACAGCCCTGAAGGCACAGATACGTGCCAAGTAGTACAGTGCCCAGCACATGTAGATGCCCAATAACCATGGTTATGAATAAGTGCTTCCCCACCCCCACCAGACACTATGGGCAGCGACTACCCTGTTCACCACTGTATCCCCAGAACACCGTAGGTGCTCGATAAGTGTTTGGTGACTGGATGAATAAGTGAAGGAATGCCTGAGACACGGTCCCTCAAGGAGCCCTCAGTCCAGCAAAGGAGACAGTCATGTAACCAACAATTACAAAAATACTAAATTGTCCCCGTTAAGTGGTTGAATTGTATGGTATGTGAATTGTATTTCAATAAAGCTATTTGAAAAAATACGAAATTAGCTATTAAGTGTTAAAATTTGAATGGGACCTTATGGGTGATGAGAATATATTTACATCCTGCAACATTTCTGCTCATGTAACGTGGATGCCCACTGCTCAGGAGCCACTGTGAGGTCGGCCAGGTGCTAGAGAGAAGTGAAGGACTTCATTTACTAGGCGGGTCACAGACATAAGAATAGGAAATTCAAATATCACTATGCCCTTGACTAGTCTAAAAATCAGAAAATTCAAATAAAACCTTGTGTATTAGTCCATTTTGTGTTACTATAACAGAAATACCTGAAACTGGGTGATGTATAAAGAAGAGAGGTTTATTTGGCTTATGATTCTGGGACAGCTGCATGTGGCACGGGCCTCAGGCTGCTTCTACGCATGGCAGAAAGTGGCAGGCAGCTGGCGGGTACAAGCAGATCACATGGTGAGAGGAAGCAAGAGAGAGAGGAGGTGCCAGGGTCCTATAAACAACCAGCTGTCATGGGAATTAATAGAGCGAGAACTCACTCATTACTCGCCCCACCCAGGGAGAGCATTAATCCATTCATGAGGGATCCGCCCCCATGACCCAATCAGTTTCCAGCACTGCCACACTGGGGATCAAATTTCCACATGAGTTTTGGAGGGGACGACACATCCAAACTCTATCACCTTGTTGTACCACATTTAAACGTATTTAAAATATATTCCAGAAACTTATTTTCTTTATTCTAAACTTCATCTCTTTAAAGGAAGGTAATTGAGGGCCGGCCCGTGGCTCACTCGGGAGAGTGTGATGCTGATAACACCAAGGCCACGGGTTTGGATCCCTATATAGGGATGGCCGGTTAGCTCACTTGGGAGAGTGTGGTGCTGACACCACCAAGTCAAGGGTTAAAATCCCCTTACCGGGGCCGGCCCATGGCTCACTCGGGAGAGTGCGGTGCTGATAACACCAAGGCCACGGGTTCGGATCCCATATAGGGATGGCCAGTTCGCTCACTGGCTGAGCGTGGTGCTGACAACACCAAGTCAAGGGTTAAGATCCCCTTACCGGCCATCTTTAAAAAAAAAAAAAAAAAATCCCCTTACCGGTCATCTTTTTAAAACAATAAATAAATAAAAAATAAAGGAAGATAATTGAATAATCAGAGTAGGAATGATACAAATAATTACCAAGCTATAAAACAAGAAAAAAAGCACCAACTAGTCTGTTCTAAAGAACTATTTTAGATCATTTACTTCCTAAAGGGCTGCAAAGTAGTTGCAAAATCTGTAACAAAGCTCTCACTCAAAATATTTGTAGCTAAGTGTTTAAGTTTTGACTGAAGTAACAATGTGACAATGTGTGATTAAGTAATGTGGTTCTCCTATAGCAGGTTTTACAAATGTTAGTTATATTGAGGAAAAAAATGAGACATTTTAACCAATAGCAAACCTATGTAATGGGATGAGGCCGACTTAATTTTAAGATTGCTGCAGAGGCTTAAAAAACAAACGATAGTCACAGAGACAACAAGGGAAGATGACAGCCTCTCTTGGAGTTCAAAAATGGGCCCAGGGAGCCTTCTGGGCACAGGGCCGGGAGCCAAGGCAGGGGGCAGGCATTGGCTACGGGGGAAGCAGATGGGCTTGTGTCCTGGCCGCCCTGCCTGCTGACCTAAGTGGGAGTAGTCGTGTTGCCTCTGTGGCCTGTGAAGGTTCATTGCCAGTCCCCTGGCCCAGTGACTGGGCCAGAGTAGGAGCTTGACACAGGCACAGTCTCTTTCTTCCAGACTCTTTAGGGTTTGCTGGTACCAGGTGGGAACCCAGGTTACCCACTCACTAAGCAGGCAACACAGGGAGCTCTTGGCCGGCTGTGAGGTGCTCATGGAAGGGAAGGGAAGGCGAGTCATCAGGCATCTGGACAGACAGGAACCGAGGCTGCTCCAGGATGGGTGGGAATGAAACACTTCTGACTGTTTACGTATCAGTCTCTCAAGGGGGGGCATCTACACTGGCCTGGCACGGGTCATGCAAGGGGGAAGAGGCCATAAACGCACCAAGTCTGCGCAGAGGTTGGGTGATACCAAAAAAAAAAAAAAAAAAAAAAAAAAAAAAAAGAGTTGTCCTGTGTAGCAAAAGCCACAATGTCTAGTCCACCCACCAGTGGTGGAGGGTCCCACGCTCTGGGAGCCTAGCCCAGGGCTTGCCACAAAGCAGTTGCTTAGTAAATATGATTTGAATGAATGAGAAAATCATGGAGACAAGGAGCCCTGGAATCTGGGGCCTGAGGAGAACCTTAGGAAGGGCTGCAGAGGCTGATGGGTCAAGGCCACAGCAAAGGGGGAGTGAAAGGGCCTTGGAGGAACCAGGTATTCCCAAATTACCCATCTGAGCCCTTAGCCCTCTAGGGATGCAGACCCTCACCAGGCCCGGGGGTGCTGGGTAGGTTTGCACAGAACTGAGACTGAAAGGCGGTCTCCTGTCACTGAACCGCCACCAAGCGGTACCTGCAGGAAGCATCTAGTAGCCTGTAGGAGTCTCACCTGCAGCCCATGGACCCAGAGGGACTATTCAGCCTCTCAACCCCTATATGCGGCTTCCTTAGCCTTCCTTCCCCTAGAAATGCTTCAGGGGCCCTGCCAGCCACCAGGGCTCTCCTGCCAAGGCAACCAAGGAGGAAGCAGGGACAGAAGGGGCCTCAGTCAAGCCGTAACTGCCCCTCTGCAGCACCTGCTTTCCACTGCCACTCACCCAAGAAACCTGCTACCAGGGCCCACTGCCCTGTCTCACCAGCTCAACATAGTATCACAAAACTAGGAAAACTGGCTCCCATGGAAGATTCCAGAAGGCAGGGCAAGATCAGGCCCGGCATACATCAGTCACAACTTCTGGGTTTCTTTTATGATTTTTGGTTGCAAGGGGGTACACCTGATAAAAGTGAAAACTCATTTTTCAGCACCTTCTGTGTGCCAGGCACTCTGCTAACAGTGCTGGGAGGTTGTAGCACCCCCACTTGACACGAGGCCACAGCTGGTGGGGTGTGCCTCACGCCCGCCCCACAGCTGGAGGCCTACATTCTTTCCGGCATTCCCCGTGCTCTCGACCAGGTGTTAAAAGGAACTCTGCAGGAGCTTCTCCTCTATTCTATCTCCCATGGTACTCTGCACTCCATAATGATGTGTCACATCGCATCCAGCAGAGAGAAGCCAGGACCAAGGAGTCGTGCCCTCAAACCAGACGGGCAAGTGAGGGGGTGCCAACTGACCTGCCACCTGGCCCCCAAACCCAGGGCGGCAGGTGACGGGACAGCTGGGAGAAAGTGTTGGCACCTGCTGGAAACCCTCCCTGCGGCGGCGTGCAGGGGGCAAAGCACGGACTCCGCAGCTCTGTGAGGCCTCGGGAAGCTGTTTCGGCTCATCTCAACCTGAGTTTCCTAAATCTGCAGAAGGTGTTGCCCCCGCGGCCACTGGGGCCATGATAAAGATGGCACGAGACACCCTTGGACGCGCCTGCACACAGTAGGCGCTTGCTGGCTCCTGGACACTTCCTCAGCCCTCACGGCCAAGGCCGCACACACCTGGAAATTGAGGCAGGCGAGAAAGAACACGAGGCCAGTGCCAACTGCGTCCCAGTTTCTTTTTATTTATTTTTTTGTTCTTTTTTTTCCTTTTTTTTTTAAGTATGGAGGCTCAAGTATAAGATGTAGATTTTTTTTTAAGCTTTTACAAAAAATCAAAATAAAACAAAAAACTCCTTTTGCATTCCATAAAAATTGACAGAAAAGCACCTGGCCAGAAGAGCAGAACGGTCAGCAGGTCCCCACCCCCACCCGCACCCCCACAAGGTGGTCTCCGTGGGACAGGGGCGAGTCTGCACAGGACAATGCTGAGGGCCACCTCTCCTTCCTCCCAGAGCGACCCTCTGTTCCTCCAACCCCCACTGAAAGCAGCTCCCAAACACACATGGAATCAGATTTCCAGTTTTTCTTCTATCTTTCACACACCACAGTTATTTCATAAAATTTTTTTGTTTTACATTTTTTACACCAATGTAACAAAAAGGTGGGAGGGAAGGGGAGGCTGACAGTGTATTTTATGTCTTCAAATGGGGGGGGGTACAGGGGGCCCGGGTGAACAAAAAACACACAGTCTCTATGGAAATATCAAGAGTTTCAATAGCAAAATGTGGTGGGAAGCAGGCCTCAGAGCCGGAGAAGGGTGTTTATCGGGCTTTATTCTCAGGAGAAACGGCGCTGTGTACAGCGGTCAGCGATGCAAGTTGTTATGTGACCTGTCGGGGAGGGAGGGCACGCGGGAAAGGGGCAGAAAACGAGTTTTCTAAGAAAGGAATCTAACGAATGCATGGCGTGTCCAGTTAGCGGGAAGCAGAGGTTTAACATTGCTGCTTTCTCTTCAAAGCCTCCATCAGGTCGTTCTTGAGAGCTTCTTGTTTTGATTTGTCTGCAAAAATCTGCACAGACCTGCAAGTGAGGAAAGGCATTGTCAGTAGACTGAACAGGGAGAGGTGTGGCAGCGAGGGGGCTGGGGCTGCCAAGCCGATGCCTGGCTCTGGGCCACCGGGGTGGGCATCCACTGGTCCCCTCAGGGGGGTGCAGAGAGCCCTGAAACCTGCATCCTCAGCACCTCACCAGGCACTGTGGGGGAGGCCCACAGTCTACATGGACAGATGCTCATCTCTGCCTCAGGCTGTGGGTGACCCAGCCACAGCCATCAGAAACCTAAATCCACTCCTCTGGGCCAAGGCCCCAACATCAGCTTGAACCAGGAGGTGGCTTCCAGGTGTCCAATCACAATCAGCAACAATCCTCTGCTTCAGACCAGCTGCCCCGGATTTCTGGTTGGACACTCTTGGCCACGCGGACTCCTCTTTACAGCTCCCCTCGCCCTACTCCCACCCAGCAGAGGCGGCTTATCCCTCACTTGTTCCACAAGGGCAGGGTGCAGTGGTACCCCACCTAGGTGGTGTGTAAGAACCAGCGTCTCTGTATGTCTGAGCACCCTGGGTTCACGGCCAAGGCAGCAAGTACATTAAGGACAGATGCTTTCAGGCTTTGGCTGCAAGGCACCATCAATTGTGAACCTGGCCCAGAAAATCTCTCAGCCTGGACTTCAAAAGGTGGCTTAGGAAGGAGGCAAGTGGCCGTAGGTCCCTGCTGTCAAATCCTGAATCTGTGGTGAAAGGTTAAAGGTGACTGCATTTATGTATGTGCAGAAACACTCTTCAACAAGGCCGGCCCGTGGCTCACTCGGTAGAGTGCGGTGCTCATAACACCAAGGCCCCGGGTTCGGATCCCATATAGGGATGGCCGGTTTGCTCACTAGCTGAGCGTGGTGCTGACAACACCAAGCCAAGGGTTGAGATCCCCTTACCGGTCATCTTTAAAAAAAAAAAAAAAAAAGAAACACTCTTCAACAGATCTAGAAACGACTAAGGTCTATAGAGATTTTACAACCTTACAAAGCACTTTTCATGCATATTATCTCATTGAATTCTCACAAGCATCCTGGCAGAGTCTTAACTATTACTAAACCCAACTTACAGATGTGAAAACTGAGGCCCCCAATAATTCTCTGAACAATCATTTTGTCAAATTTACCCAACATATTGGTTAACCAAGAACTTACTGAACTACTGGTCAGAAGCAGCAGCAGGAGAGGCTGGAAGGCTGCCTGAGCAGGACGCTGCAGGCAGTATGCTCAGCCAGTCTCAAGCTTTATATGCAGCAGCCATGAAAAAGAGCGGGATGGAAAGATCAAAAGATAAATCCCCAAAATGCTGAAAATGGGTAAAGTAAACTGGAGGAGGACCCAGGAGAAGTAACAGCATTACGAGTTGAATTCTGTCTACTAACTCTTAGAAAAATCTTGGAAACAGTCCCTAAAAAGGTAAGAGGGTGGCACAGACATGCCTTTGAGGCAATCTGTCCACAGCTGCAAAAATCCCACAAGAAACATCACAGTTGACTGATGCTGCTGAGTGCACACCGCTGATGTGCCCTGGATGGCCCCTAGCTCTGCAGTGGCCACAGGCAGGGTCCGGGCCCCACATCTCAGCCAACCCACCACGAGCCTCTCACAGAGCTCACAACAGGAGGTTACCGCTGACACAAGAGGGTGCAGCTGGCAGGGCAGCAGCCAGGTCTGGGCTGGGTCCAGCCAACCTCACCCCACAAGGACAAAGTTCGAGTAAGAACCAGGTGAGAGCTGGGGAGGTCAGACTTGGAAAGGCCGAAGGCATAAGGAGCCAGGGACTCACTTAGGGAGCAGAGCTTGGGAGGGTTACTGCTAAGCAACCTGGAATGAACGCCTGGAGGCAGCGCTCAGCTCAGCGTGGGAAGGAGGACGTGTCCTAAGAAGTGATGCCTGCTGCCTGCTAGGAGGCCTCCCATGGGTGGCCAGGAGCTGCACTAACATGGTGCACTCTAAAAAGGGCCTTTCCTCGATGATGGGAACACGTGACAGCCATCATAAGGCTGAAGGACACTTTGGACCTGAAGTTGGCACACAGACCAGACCTAAGTGCTAAGGCTCGCAGCCTCAGAAGAGAAGCTCCACTGGGTTACACAAGTGCCCACTCCACCCCACCCCCAAATCCCACTGAGCCTCTTCTGGGTTGGGCCTTTGGTGCCCTAGACCTGGGTAGCCCCCCGTTTCTTGCCTCCACAGCCCCATCCAACTGGGTTTCCAAATGCCGTATTTGTAGCTTCCCTCCCCCTATCCAGGGAGGCTGACTGCTTTCATACATCTGCACTTATCACAAGCTCAAGTCATAGTTCTTGGCCATTATCAACAAGCAAGATTCTTTTCCTTTCCATCCACATGCTCATTTGAACAGCTTTAGGGGCACGAAGTTATGCTGGTCCAGCCAGTGTCAGCACTGGGCACCCCAGGCAGCTCCAGCAGCCACCAGTCTGGAGGTGCATGGGGCAGCCAGGGTGGATTACATGCCCCCTCTGTGCTCCATCCAGAGTCTCAGAGCACAAGATCACTCCCTCTAAGTGAGCTAGTGCTGGACAGTCACTGTGCCATTGAGATGGGGGCTTATTTGGCTTTGGGGATCCCTGGTGAAAATGGGAGGATCCGGCTGCACATGCACCAGCTTCAGAGAGGATGCCCTAAAGCACGAGGGTGGGAGGAAGGCAGGGCCTGGACCCTTGCTCTATAGGCCAGTTGATCAGTGCTGACCAGTGGCTGCTGCTGGAGGTGCAGTTAGTGCCTTGGACTGGGCTTCTTCAGGAGCAAAAGCCAAACCACCTGTCTTCCCCACACCTAGCCTCCACCCAGAGTGCAAAGCACACACCACACACGTGATATGTGTCTGTGTTACGTGGGCCTACGACTACTCGTTAATGTGGCTGCTCACCAGCCATGAGCAGACACAGAGGTTAGTGGTGGTTTAAATGGCCGCACAGCAACAGCCAGACCGGCAGGGTCTCAGTGGGTTGGTGAGTCCTGTTTAGTGGGGAGGGTTCTCACGCCTCTAAGGCAGGGTACCTGGTTCGGCTTAATTATCGGGCTGGATGTAGATCTGGCGCTGGGTCAGCACTTGCGAGAGCTCCCTCTGCAACTGCTTAAACTTTTGGTTGTCAGGGATAGCATCAATAGATCTACAGAGAGTGTTCAGAGATGAGTGAAGCGGGAGGGGAGAGAACGACGCAGTCCAGAAGCACAGGGAGGGAACAACTGAGGAGGAAGGACAGGCAGACACACGAGGCAGGACGGCGAGAGGCACGCTGAGGACCGCAGCTCAGTTTTCCGGGGCTCACACCCACCACCCTGTAGGCTCTGCTGTGTCTCCCTGCCATTTCCCAACCATACCGGGGGATGGTGCAGGCCGGCTGGGTGGAAGTGTGTTTGGTGGGGATGGTACAGTGGCCTGGGTGGCAGCCCTGACACCTGGGACCACTGGGCTCTGACCCTGCCACAGGCCTGCAAGGGAAAATAAAACCTACCAGGGGCCAGACCAAGCTCCCCACGGGAGGTGGGGGCGATAGGAAATCAGGAAGATGAAAGACTAAAGGAGACTCCTCCTCTATACTAAAACTGTAGAGCAAGGAACTTAAATCTGTCTCTGGGACAAATCCACAAGGTGGGGCAGCCCTAGGGCTGCTTCCTGCCTCTCCTGGCCTGGCTGTGACAGCTGTACACAGACCAGCGATGAGAGGGCAGGCAACCTGGGCACAGCACAGGCCCTGGGACGTGCACAGTGCTGCTGGACTGCAGAGCGCTCTCCAGCCTTCATCTCTCATCTGACCCCTTCAGCTACCCTGCCTCCTTGACTGGACGAAGGCCACTGGGAGGGGTGCTGAAGGTCACACAGCTCAGGGTGACAGAGCTGGGAGGAAATCCTGGCCTCCTGACTCCAAAGCTAGTGCTTGTGCCACAGCCGCCTCTACACCCCCGGGGGGCTCTGGCCTCCTGCACTGTCCACCATTGACCCTGCGGACCCAGAGGGCCCCTTCAGTCTTTGCTCGGCCCGGCACTGTAGAACCGAGGGCCTGACATGGGCGGGAGGGATGGCCCAGGACCCTGGCTCCAGCCAACAGAGCCTGGCAGAGAACATCTGGTTGAAAGGCTCCATCTGCAGGACGCTCTCTGCTGCCCCAGGGCCTAGGCGTCAGCAGAAAACAGGACATGCTCTGCTGGCTGCTGTGGAGCTGGGCGGCCAGGCTGCCCAGCAGTTTGTACCCCTCTGGTGTCTCAGGGTGTGGCAGAGAGGCACCCCTGGGCCCCAGGGCCAAACAGAGGGGACTGACCAGCTGGGGGACCAGAAGGAGGCAGACTCCAGGGACAAGGGCACAATGGCTGTTAAAGTGAATGTGCCCCAGAAAACAAAATGGTGGAGGGAAGAAGGAATGATTTCTGAGAGTGCAAACTGGGCAAGGTACTCTTCCTGGAAGGTGGGTGCTTTAGCCCCATTTTACGGATGAGGAAGCTGAGGCCCAAGGCCACACAGATATGAACTAGGAGACCCAGGACTCAGATCTTTTTGGTTCCAAAGCTTATGCTTTTTCGGTACATTACCTCAGCCCGTTGACGATGTCCTTTGTTTTTCCAAAGTAGATCTCATTCAGCGTACTTCTGATTTTGTTTTCCATGTCCTGGAAAGGGAGACCAGTCAGCCACCAGGGCCAACAGTTAAGAATCTGGGGCCCTATCCTCCCCGCTTCCCACCAGCTCCCCCACAGTCCCCACTATGACCACAGGGGGGAGTCACACGACTGCTCCAGAGCCTGAGCTCCTGGCTGCCAGGACCACCCTTATCGTTTGTGCTCTGAGCGCCTTCCTGTCCTTAGGCATGAAGGAAGTCAATACCCAAGTACTGGCGGCCAATTCTGATCATTACTGGGAGCTGGTCTAAACCACACCAACCTCCACCTTCCCACCAGTTCTGTGAACAATTCTGTAGAACCCAAGAGCACCCCCCCTTCTTCCAGAACAATGTGGTGACAAGGGGAGGCTGAGGCAGCCGCCACTGCAGCTCCTCCAGAAACCACTAGTGTTCCAGGGATCTGTTTCCTTTCTGAGGTCAGGCCACTGTTCACACCCAACTGATCAGGGGAGATAGGACTTAGCACTTCCCAGAGCCAGCAGTGAGCAGACCTTCTGGGAGCACACATTTAGGGGTGGAGGAGAAAGGGCCTTAGGGGCTGGGGCCCTGCTTGCGTCTAAATTGGAAGGCTCAGAGGATATGAGGCCAGGACAGAAAACAAGACAAGCTCTGCTGGCTGCTGCGGAGTTGGAAGAAAGAAGCCAGCAAAGAGGCTTCTGGGGTAAAAGGTCACCAGCTGTGGGTCGATGCAGGAGCCCAAGAGCCCTGGAGACCCACTCACCTCTACCAGGCGCCCGATATTGGCTATGTGTGGGGAGCAGTCACTCACGGTTTCATCTTTCTCCATCTGCAAAAGACAAAAACATTCCTCCAAGTGACAGAAAGCTGGAGAATGGCAGAGCTGCCGACAGTGCAGTCCACCTCCACAGTGTGCAAAGAGTCTATTGTTCCTGTGGGCAAGCTCTGTGGTGCCAGCTGCAGGTGGTATAAGGCCGCTTCTCCAGCAGGGGACTGAAGTGCCAAGTGACTTTGGTTTCAGGTCACAAACAGCCAGGCCAGCAGAAGCCTGAGTCTTCATTTCCAGGGGAGATTTTTGCTGCTGCCCTTGTGGAAGCAGAGACCCCCTGAGCCACAGCAGGGAGGGCAAAGGTGCCCCCCACCGCCAGGCCCTGGCTCATCCAGGGACAGCTACAGCAGACATGCTTGGTCTGTCTGCATGCCACCACTGCTGGTGGGTATGAACTGTCCTTGGGCCATGCTGCTGCTGTGCCTTGACTGCCCCTGTGACGGCAGCCATGGGATGCTGTCAGGGAGGCCTTGCAGGGATAGACCAATACCCCTGGTTGGCAGAAAACCGAGGCTAGAGGGGTGAAATGACTTGGCGTCAGTGGCAGAACCCAGGTCAACCTTTCTGACTTCAGAGCCTGCATTCTGTGAGGCCGTGGGGAACTTGAACAAGACACTCTCAACACTGACTCCTAGGTTATGACAGGTGGGGTGCAGGAGGGGCCCAGCACCCGAGTCTCCAGGATCCTCTTCCTCAGCCGAGGTGGAGTCTGTTCCAACCCAATCAATAGCCACAATTCGGAGTGCTGAGCGACAGGAGGCAGGGAGGGAAGAAGGAACTGGTGGCTCCCAACACGAGCACCTGTTTGTGAGCTTTTCCCCATGTTAAGCCTTATTCCCTGACAAGATCACAAACTCTTTAAGATTTGCCTGCTGTACGCCTCGCAGGCTATAAAACAGGGTGTTAAGCACGTAAATACTCTATACTCCTAAATTGGAATGAGAATATACAGCTACCATTACCACTGCTGTTCTTGAAATAAACTATGGAAGCTGAAAAAAGTAACCAAGAAACAGGATGAGGGCTGGCCAGTTAGCGCAGTTGGATGAAGTGTGGTGTTATAACACCAAGGTCAAGGGTTCGAATCCTCGTACTGGCCAGCTGCCAAAAAAAAAAAAAAAAAAAAAAAAAAA